GGCTGGAAAAATAATTACTCCACTAAAGTATAAATAACCAAAATTTCTACTGRAGTAAAGTAACAAAGACACCTCTGGTGATTTTGCAGCAGGTGGTGAGGAGTCACGTGCTAAGAACAGGTGCGTCTGCACTGACTTTATTGCTGTGARTGTGCCTGAGCATCAAGTTGTTTCTGAGTCTGCCTCTCGTTCCTGAGTGTGTTTGTACACGTGAAAAAAGACTGACAGTTCAGCTGATTAAACCCTTCAAAAAAACGTGTTTTTATGTGGTACAATTCGCTCTGCGCCTCCTGAAATCCCACCCCTGCGCGCGTGCGCCAGTTTGCGGTCAGCCCGTTCGTGTGCGCGTGAGCGCGAACCTGCGCGAGCTCGATGAGCGGCGGCGACGACGACAGGAGGAGGAAGACAGGCAGACAGTTGTCGTGGCTCCGAGTCGGCCCGGATGGCACCGAGGTCCCGCTGACCCGCAGAGCACAGGACAAGTGGCGCCTCGGCGGGTGGGCGGTGGGGCTGTGCGTGAAGCTGAAGGAGGTCAGGATGGACGGGAAGGGCACCCTGAAGATGTTCACCAGGAAGAAGCGCGAGCTGATCAAGACGCCGTCCATCTCGAAGAAGAGCCGAGCAGGAAGCCCTGGGCCGCAGAGCAGCGCTCCGTCTGTGAGTAGAGCATCACTTCTGGTTTCTTTCAGTGCGCGCGCGCGCGCACGAGGAGGTTTCTTTCTGTGTGTGCGCGCGTGCACGAGGAGTCAGGTCCTTCAGCTGGAGGTGGACAGCAGGACAGGCTGTGCACACAGAGGGAACAGTGGTGTGTGTTTGTGTGAGTTTTGTTAGTTTAGTTTTGACACATTTTGTGTATGTGTGGCTGAGAAGCTGTCACTTTGTGTGTAAGTTTTCTAAATGCCATGTCATGTTGCTGAATGTGCAGATCATGAGTTCAAACTGACTCAGGTCTGGGTTAGTCCTGCCTAGAGAGGTCTCTCTCTGTGTGTGTGTGTGTGTGTGTGTGTGTGTGTGTGTGTGTGTGTGTGTGTGTGTGTGTGTGGACAAAGCTCCAGATTGAGGAGCACTTTATTTTTCACATGGGGTCCGAGCTGTAGGCAGCGCACAGTCGGAGCATGTTGAAACGTGGAGGCAAAAGTAGCTACAACCCTTACTCGACGGGTCAGAGAGTTAAGAAAGAGGCCAAAGAGAAGGACAGGCTGGACATACTGCCCAACAAACACACCGTGTGGCTCAAACAGGTACGTTTAGATTTTAACCATCAGTGAGCGGGGCTGCCTTCTCCTCTGTCAGGGTTAAAGTGTGTGATTTGGCTCTTAAGKGTTAAAATGCACTTATTTTCTTCTGCCTCTTGTCTGTGTTTGGTAAACACTTGGAAGGGTCATTTATAAATTTCGTACCCCAAACAGTGCATGATGTTTGACACTAAGTACAGTTTGCCACACCCGACAGCAGCTTGGAGTCAGGAAGTGTTGCACAACGCAGCATAGGATCTTGTGAAAGTCTTCCTATGTGTGTTTACCAACAGCACTGCTGGTAGYGTTGGATTCCACAGAAACGTTTTTAACGGCTGAGCCAAATCGAAATAATCTGAATTTATTTTATTTGTGTTTTTGTTCCTATCCTTCAGCTGTCCATTCTCCARGAGCAGCCTCGGAAAGATGCTGGCGATGCCGTTCTCTCCTCCTCACCTTTGTCSTCCTCTTCTTCTTCTTCAACTCTCACCACGACCTCAGCCAGCCTCCAGGACCCGTTGGCGTCGTGCCCGGGCACACCCAGCGCCCAGCACAGCAAGCTGGCGGCGATGCAGGTGGTGGGCTGCGCGTCTCCCGTGGGCACCCTGAAACGACCCACCGCCCTGAGCCGGCACGCGAGCGCTGCAGGTCGGCTTTTTTAAACCGCCTCCTTAACCTCCAACTCCAAACTCCCTCATTAGCATYGCTGGACGCCGTCGTCCTGCAGTTAAAGCGACTGCTAACCCTGCTAATGCTACCGAAGGTGGCGTTTAAAATTTTAAATCCGTGTGTTCGCTGAAAACATGGCTGGTACCTGYGGTCCGCCAGTTTGAAGTGCAACCTGGACACAGGCCACAGCTGCAAGTTGGATGTCGTGAAAGGGAGCATTAGCCGCGTTAGCAGCTGCTTTTGTCGCAGGATGATGATGTCATAGCAAAAGCCGAGCTCCAACAGCAAAGGCTGTGTTCTGGTCTGATGTGAATGTAAACTTCAAAAGTTTGCCGCAATGTTTATGATTTCAGTTTTACATTTAGATTTTGGACTTAATATTTACATTTATTAACATTTAAAATCAACATTTAGTAAAAAATTGCTAAATGTACGAACGGTGTAATGAAAATAAAATCACTTGTAAAACAACAGTCTAGTAGGGTAAACTTGATATTTGAAATTAAACATTATAATTTTTTTGGGTATGGACTAGTTTTTACAACCCCACAAGAGTTGAAACCTTCTGTAAAAATGTACATAAAAACTGAGTACAAATTTAAAAACACCTCTTGGATGATGCTACCATTTTTAGACACATTATTTTTTTGAGTATTGAACCTCTGACTGTCTTTACTTATCAGATATCAGCCTTTTAAAATGTTCCCTTCGCACCTGTTGACCATTAAATTAATTAGTTGCAAATTTCTCCCCCAGTTGTTTCTTATTTACATCACTTATTACTTTTGTCCTTTAAAAAATTTGTCTCTAGCTTCATTCCATTTGGAGAAAAAATGTAGCTTAAAATTGGATATTGGAAAAATAATTTGCTTTTGTTTTAGTTACATTTTGTACAACATCCCGCATTATTAGTGTGAATGCTTTTAAGCGACGATGCTATTGTTTTTGTTTCTCTTTCTTCTTCTGCATTTTTTCTTTTGGCACGCCTCCCCTTCTGCAATTTTTGTGCTATTTCAACAATTTATAAATCAAAATGTTCAGCTCCTTCGGCACATTCAGCAGCATGTACCTTTTTTTAATATTTAGCTTTTTCAGCCACTTTTTTCTCACTGAAAATGAGTAAAGCCATCTTCAACATACTTACGACCCTTTAAAATTTTACTGCACTTTTTACTTCTGTACTGGTTCTGATTCTTTGTGCTAATTTCAGCTTCCATCAACCTCCTATTTGCAAATTTTAGCTTTTCTGCTATTTCAGCTATCTATTGGCTTTTCTCTAGCTAATTTAACCCTTTTATCCTTTTTTTAGCTTCAGATCTGTTAAGCTACATGTTTTTTTATCTACCATTTTCTGGTAATTTTAGCTACATTTATGCCATTTTTATACATATTTTTTGCTATTTTTCTACTGATTTTTCAGTTTTTGTTTTCCARTTTTCCAATTCAATAAGCTATTCAGATTTTATTTGCATTATCAGTTTTAAAACTTTTCATCTTAAATTTTTCTGCAGCTTTCAGCATTGAGCGTTCACCCTGCATTTTTGCAGGAAATGTAAATTCTCTAGTTTGGAATTGGGGTTGTAATTATCCGGCTGTGATTTAGTGAGTTTAGAAACTTTTTTTTTGCCAAATGTATATGTTATGAAAAAAAACTTTAACTTGACCCATTTTGAAGGCTCAACGACCTGTTTTTGTGTCCCTTCAGGGTTCGCTCTCCCATCATGGGTCCACACAAAAGGTCAAGGGAAGGGGGCCTTGACGCCCTCTCCCCAGTCTGAGAGTCCAGAGAGCACKGTCATTGAGGTGGAGGACATTCCAGCCCTGCTGAGGGATGTCGCGCGCTTCGCAGAGGCAGTGGAGAAGCTTAAGGATGTTGTGCTGACTGAGGGTAAGATCCAGTTCATGGAGAAAGTGCAAACAAATGATAAGTCAACAYAGAAGAGRAGTCCAAATATTTACAGACTCACCTGTCAAAATGAGTTAGWCTTCAGTTTAGTGTCTGTAACCTCCTCTTGTGTTGGGATCACTTAACAGAACTCCTGAAACATTGTTTGTTTTCACAACAACAGAGCCCAAACATTGCTCGGTGTTAGTGTGATGGCAGGCACGTCACTTGTTTCTGCTGGGCGACTTCCCAGATTGAACAATACAGCGTTTGGTCTCCTCCTCCTCCTAAAGGGCACTCCATTTTGACAAACTCCCTGTATGAAGAGAATAGTAGGCCGTGTTTGCGAACACGTGTGCTTTGACGTGCTCAAGATCAGAGCGAGGGCGGAGCTATTGTACACCAGCAAGCTTACAAGTCTGAGCTTCCTCTCGCCAAATGAAGGGTTGCGTTTCCGCTGCACCCTCAGAGTTAACCACACTTGTCTCCTGCAGGAAGTCAGCTTCATGTTTACTGCTGCCGTATATACTCTTTCCCCATCCTGCACTGTGCAGCTCAGCTTGAAAATGACACCTATAAGTGGAGTGACGTGCACCATCTACAACTGGATTCCATCCGAGAAGCACACAGCATGTGACCTTAAAATGAATAGCACTGGATTGTTGTAGTTTAGGTCAAGAACTTTGTTCTATAAAAGGTTTTRGCTCTGGGATCTAGTTTTGTTCTGTCATGCTCTCCCTTCATGTGAGGTCTCTGAACAGGAAGTCTTGATGGACAGCCCTRTGACAGACAGTCCACACTTCCTCCTCTGAAAGGTCTGTGGGATGTGACGCTTTTTCTGCATCAGAAACTCGGTCCTAACTTTTAGCTCTCCTAATGCCTGAGCTCCTAGTTAATTTTTAATTGCCTACCGATAGTGTTTTTATCTGTGTTCATTTTGTCTGTWGTGTTAGCAGAATATTTCATCAGCCAATAAAGGTTTTAATGAAATGCTCAAAGTAAAAAGTTGTGTGTTAATAGAAAATATCCACTTTCAGGCGAACAAGTTATCCAARCCCTGTTTAAAACTTTGCCTTTAATTGTTGGAGTCGTGTCATGAACCACTTTTGAAGTCAACCAGGGGCGGTGCTAGACTTTTTAGCAAGGGCTGGCACTRGGGTGGCCAAGGTGGGATTTAGGGGGCATATATAAATAAAGAAAAATTGAAAGTTCTAGATGGCTGCCACAGCCAATTTCATATTACTCTAATTAGCTGTTTTAAGATGTATTGAGATGAAATTTTGAAAACAAGTCACAATTTCAAGCTAACTGCTTCTGCTAACATTACAAAGCACAACAATTCAGCATTTCTTAGACAAATAAAACTGAAAATTAGCATATTAGTAGCTGAAAACAATCTTTACCWAATTCTAAATGGTAATTAAAAATTCAAGCTGGCCAATGGCTGCAATTCAGCCACTTTAAGACTGAGCTGAAATGTTTTGTGGTGTAGCCAAGAATGATTGCTTAAACTGGGACTAGCAAACTGCTAATGCTAATTTTACAAAGAGCGAAATTCACTCATTGAATACACAGCTGAAAATTTATATAGTAATAGCTGGGAATAATCGTGAACAATATTTGAATGTAAATAGAAAATCCAAGATGGCCATCAAAGTAAATTTGTAGTCGTTGTACCTCAGCCATTTTTTAGAAATATTGAGCTGAAATTTGGTTTTGTGGTCGAGAGCAATCCCCATGCCATTTTAAAATCTCAATTTTAAGCTAAGGGCTAATGCGAATTTGAGAAGGATGTATTTCAGACATAATAAAGCTACAAATTGTTATAATAGCTGATAAGAATCTGCATGACAGATAATTACTCTGTTTTGCACCGACCATCTTTTATTGCTGCATGTGATTACCCCCCCCCCCCCCCCGTCTTTTATTTGGAGGTGGCAATCAGGTGTCAGGAGTGGCACTTGCCACCCCTCTGGCTCCATCCTTAAAGTCAACCCAACTCAAGATGACCACATAGATGACTGACCATAGATAAAACAAAAAATGATTATAACTCCTTCAGTTTGACAGATACGGAGCTAAAATTCAGTGTGGCATCAGTTCAGAGCCATCCCCAAGACATACTTCAAGCACTGCASATTGCATGATATCTGCTTAAAGCTTTGGCATTAACTGTGATGATCAGCATTATTTCTGCAGGCGAACTGTCATGTTGGATTTAACGAAACTGTCAATGTAATCACTGATAAATATCTTAATTTTTCTTTTTTGGAGTCAGTCAAATTTTAAGATGGCCACCACCGATGATCAAACTTYGCCAAATCAAAAAAATTAAATAACTTTCGATTTTGTAAATAATGAGCTTAAAATTAGTGTGATTGGTACTTGAGTCATGCCCCGATCATATATACCAAACAGTGACACAGCACTGTGCATAACCTTTTTTTTTTTTTTAAGATTTAACCAAAAAGTTTTGACACTTTCACTTAAAAAATGGACTTGGCTTCAAATTTTGGCATGACATGCAGAATRCAATTTGCTTTCACGTAACTACAATGAAACTTTCTTTCTGTGAGTCACAGAAAGCCGATTATTGCCACAACTGATTACTAATCTTGCAAAACTGTCAATAGGGCCACATCCTGTCTGCCAGGGCCGTGTACTCGGGTCCTCCTGTTCTAGTTTTGGGCTGCTGCTGCTCTAACATTCTGACACAGTTCTTTCAGCTGGCTGTTCTCTAACCTCTTCTAATAGCAAGCTGTCATAGTTGGCAAAATGCATCAGTGAAAGAGAAAACTCTGAACCAAACTGTAGATGTGTCAGTGCATGACCACAATACTATATCTATTTAGTAACACTAACTATAAAGAGAAAACCCCTCGACTGGCAGTTWAAAGAATTAGGACAAGCTTTTGTTGTTCACAGCAGAAAACATATTAAAGATTGCTACTAATCACATGCAGACTAAATGTAAGGCTTAATATAGCAGCTTTTTAGCCTAGCTTGAAGCTTAGCTTCCAGAACGAAGTTGTACATTGACTACAAATGCCATAAAACACACAATGTTTTCATTTTGTGTGTGTATGTGGTATCACTCTTAGATATATGGCCACAGTGTATCAAAATTKTGAATGATGTAATCAGTCGAACAAACTCATTAGCCTTGGTGCCCTGACCTTGTTCAGATGATGGAAATGGTGATCGCCAATCATGATGTCACATCGTGCCCCTCTGTCAAATGATCAAACAATCGGCATGGATTCTATTTTGTCAGTGTTGATACAAAACAGAAAAAGCTGTTTCTAGAGCKAATTTGGGCACATCTGGCTTCAGGAATTGCAGGAAAGTTGAGTTGAAAGGTTGGCTGGAGGGTTGCGRTCTTCGACGGACTTGGAAAGCGAGCAGATTTGTTAAAAGGCTGGAGTTTTATTACCTTTTGTCTTCTAGCTTAGCTTGCTTGAGCTATTGTGTATTTTTATCACAGGAGGCACTGCTTTTGCATCATTTAAAGAAACAGTGCAGTGATGTTTAAAATTTGCGTTAGAATAATATCACCATAGGAGTTACTGACTGCAGGTGAACGCTGAGGCTCGCCTAGATATGAAAGTAAAACTAGCAGTAGGCTACAGTAAAAACAATATAAGGTTTTTGTACTTATTCAGAGACAAAGTGCAGGGATGGGATCAGGGTGGTCCAGTGTTGGTCTTTTACCTCTAATATTTGGAGCAGACATTGAGTCCATGGTTGCACTTTTTCTGGCCAAATTAAGCTCATCCCATCGCTGGAATCCAGCTGTTAGCCTGTTTGGGAAAAGTGACTTAAGTGACGGGGCTTTGGCTGTATCATGAGTTACTGTTCAAAAGGAGTGTAGCACAATGTTTAATGCTCCTCCCGGTGGAGTTTAAAGCAGTTTTACCGAATTCCTTTAAATTTAAACACAGCTAAATCATACCCTGTAATTAAAACTAATAGAGCCGCTGACAGTTTGTACACACGCAGGTGTTTGCTTGACGTTTTTATGGATTGAAGTTCTAAAAATAGCCTGAGTGAAGATTGCCATTAATATTGTCATTGCATAAACAAATAAAACAATCGCACATCATGAGTTTTTCCTAATATATAGGACAYCTACACACCTGGATGAAGTTATGACAAATGCCCAGTTCTACATTTATTTTACAAATATGAGCTGAATTGGTTGAATTTTTTTTACAAAAGTTAATGGTAAAATATGAACCATTTTAGTTTGGTTTTCAAGCAATAACCTGTTGGTTTTCTAACACTTGAATGATTACATTTTGTACACTTTCAAGTGTTTTGAACGTGTATGCGGATTAGAATTTATACATGGAGCAATGTAATTACAATTTCTGAACAAGAATACAATTGTTGGATAAAACCTGTTCAAAAATCCTTTTTTGATCTCAGTAATAGAACTGCTGAAACATTATTTCAATTTTTTTTTCAGTAGTTTGAGACCTTGGTCTGTTTTAGCTGTTTTTTTTCTTCTTGTTGTTTTTAGTGTTGATTTGTTTTGTTTTTGGCCTCTCATGTACAGCACTTTGTTTTAAAGGGGCAATATTATGTGTTTCTCAGGCATACATTTAAATA